AGACCCAACGATGCAAGGAATAAGAACTCACTTTTGGCTAGAGCGCACATACAAGGACAAGAACAGTAGAGAGCAGTGGCAGAGTGAGCAATTAATCGATCTGAGATTGTGGGAGATAACTCAATTTTGTAATTCGGACGAAATTAAACAAAAACTCCCGGGTATAGACTGGGATTCGTTATTACAAGAAATTTGGACCGCCCAAAACCTAGCATCCATACTGGGATATCTTTGTCACCATTTGCAGGATCAAGCATTTGTCTCGTTGAAACCCTATTTGCGTGATAATTTGTCTTCAACTAAAGAGAATCAAATCACAGGCTATCCACAGCTCTGCATCCGCGTGATTCCCAGAGAGGTGCATTGGGAAGTTGGAGAACTCGGTAAATTGCTCAAAACATCGGATAGTGATAAAAAAGAACAGCTAAGGTCAAACTTCTGCCCTCATACACAGCTAAGACCAGCCATAACAGTTGGTAAAATACTCGTCACAGTGTTAACAAACCAGGCAAGCGAACCGGTAATCCCCGACCTGTTGGGCGAAATTAAACAAGCAAACATGGGCGTCGGTGCATCAGGAGGAGTAAATTCTTCCACGCCACTGTCAATTGTGGTAAAACGACAACCCGATCATGAACAATTAATCCGTCAATGCATGAATAAATGGTATCAACGGACCTCCGGCCAACTGAGATGGCCGAAGGAAGGGACTTTTAGGGCAGCCTGTTGTGATGAAATATAAGCAAACATCAAACATTACAAAGCCAAAGACACTAGCGCCAGAAGAGCAGGAAAACGCGCTCGGGAACGAGAGGTTCTGAGGTGGTTTAGAGAGGAGGGCCGTAGGCGAACATTTGGGGTGTCACAGCTCCCCATGATAGAGCAAGAACAGGCACAATCCAGGCCTGTTAGAGAGAAACCCATCGATAAAAAAGATGTCATTGGACCACAAACAAGGCCCTCCGCCCCTGAGTGGCAGAACAAACCACCTCCGTACGCCTCGTGCCCCACTAGTCCATCAGGACAATATGTTCTGACAGAAAAAGATAAGAGGCTCAAAGGAGAAGTGGCAGGCACATTTGAAGTAGTGTTTAAGACAACCCCAGCCACGACAAATGGCACAAAAGAATCAGAGGGGACCGGCACCAGCGCCGTTAATGACAAAGATGAGGGTAACGAGGATAGGTTAACTCCAGCCAAACATTCAGAGTTAAAGCAAACTATACTCGCTCTTAGACACATACTTAAACACAAAACAGAAAGCCAGGCAGCGCAGAATGATCACCAAACTGCCAAATCGGGCAACTTTGAAGAAAAATACACTCGGGAAGCTAGAGCTAATATACGGGATTATGAGAAAATAGCTTCTTCTTCTTCTTTCGGCACGTCCCTATTCAGGGGTCGCCACAGCGAGTCAGTAATTTCCATCCGCCCCTGTAAACCGTCCTACCAACTTGCATGGTCGTCTTGGCAAAACTTTTCCGCCGGATGCCATTCCTGACGCAACCCTCCCCATTTCTCCGGGCTTGGGACCGGCACTGGGGAACAGTGCACCCCCAGGGGAGGGCACTGCTCCCCAGCGGCTGGGTTGATTATGAGAAAATAGCAAACCCCACAAATGACCGCGAGACTAGATTTCACCCAGACACCCTCCCTGACAACACCGAAACGGAAAACACACATACCCGCATGCACAAACATCTATCACTCATAGAGCTGTCCCAACCCTGCCCTAGAAAGGCAGAACCACCACACACCAGTCCACTCCACTATCACTCATCACACCAACAGGAGAGTTCGCCCCATGGCAACCACACCGAGGGCAGAAACCGATACCCATCCTTCATGGACTTGCCCGAGCTCCCTCAGCCGAAGCGGCGGCTCCCGCCCTTGAGTCCAGTGATGGCCCTCTGGGAGGAGCAGCCGCCCGGCCTCGGGCCGGGGCATTCCCCAGCAGGAAGTTCGGCTGCATGCCTAACACATCCTTTGCTTGGCGAAACAGCATGCCAGGGCATCAATGAGGCATACGGGGCCATCTGCTGCCCCACAAATGGAAGGCCCAACTTGCGGGACGAACAGGAAAAACAATGCCGCAGAAGCAGCCGCCTCCTCGAGAAAGCAAAGCCTCGACTAGACGCCTACGACGACGGTGCCTCGCTGCAGTGCCCCCTAGTGATGAAGGGGCAGGGGCAACGACACTACGTGCCATGGTCATTCTGCGATATGGTAGGCCTGGCCGCCCGGCTGGCCGAACTCTCCAAAAGATCACCGCCCTGGAAGAGAGCACTGCTGGCGCCACCCTGACGTTGGGGGACATCAAGGCCCTGCTCATGCACATCATAGGCAAGCACACCGCGGAAGAAATTCTGCTGAAAGCGGGCCTAAAGACGCTGATCCAGGGGAACGAGGCTGACCACGTTGGCTTCAACGGGCATCGTGGCGTGGTGTGGAAACAAATGCGCATCTGCTACCCAGAGAAGATGGATCCCACCAAACTGGAAGGCGAGGTGCTGAAAGAGGATGAATGCCCCACCAAGTTCCTCCACTCATTCCAGCGCAAATGGAGAGAGGAAACTGGCAGCGCTTGGAACACCAACGCAACTTCCGAAAGCCTGTTTAAGGTAATGGCCAAAAAGGCCATGCCTGAAGAGGTGCAAGCCCGGCTGGATAATGTGGTAGGTCTCATGAAGATGGACTGGCCCCTGTTCCAAGAACATCTGGTGCATCATGTGGAGTGTTTGCGGAAAGAAAAGTCAAAGGAGGAAGAAACGCATCGGCTGATGAGCGCCAAGCTGACCCACCTCCAACTGACAGAGCTCAAGCAAAAGAAAGACAAGCCTAGGACCCAAGCTCCAGTCGTGACTGTAGGGACCCCCCAAGTCCCACCAGACCCGGCTCATGCCACAGCACCACAACCCATTCCAGCCGCGGCCTATCCGACGCCTCACCAAGCACCAGCGCCAGTGACCCTCCTCCCCGCCTTCCCGGAAGGGGCTCCCTTCCAGTCCCCTCCAATACCGCCACAGGCCCACAGCTCTCCAACGGCTCCCCAGGTGCCGACAGCCATCCACTACCACTTCAAAGAACCTCATGAGAACGGCGGGCAAGGAAGGCCTGAACGGAGGAATACGGGACAGCGATACCCTCCCCGGAATCAGTATGGGAGACCACCGGCACCAAACGCAGATCCCAGAAGAGGCCCCGGGCATCAAGGGCAGAGAGGGGATGACCACAGACTGAGCAGAAAATTGGTTTATCACCAGTATGGGTTTTTGTGTGGTTTGATAACGGTCCCTTCTGACAGAATCTCTGTCCACAAACTGAGCAGACAAAGGGTTTCTCACCAGTGTGTGTTCTGATGTGGACTTTTAAAATTCCCTTCTGAGAGAACCTTTGCCCACAAACTGAACAGGCACAAGGTTTTTCACCGGTGTGGGTTCTTGTGTGTATTTGTAAGGTTCCCTTCTCAGAGAATCTTTGTCCACAAATTGAGCAGGGAAAAGGTTTCTCACCAGTGTGGGTTCTTGTGTGTGTTTTTAAGGTCCCCTTCTCAGAGAATATTTGTCCACAAATTGAGCAGGCAAAGGGTTTCTCACCAGTGTGTGTTGTGATGTGTTTTGTTAAGGTTCCCTTCAAAGAGAATCTGTTAGAGGAATCTATGGGCGAAATTGTATCATGTTTAAAGTTTCATTTGATCTGTGCACGTTGAAGCGTCTGGGTGCGTAATTCGCACCCCCAAATTCCTGTTCAGAAGGTGCCGGCCATTTGGGCGGAGGGCTGTTGCAGCCCACACCACAATTAACACATCAAGGCGGGTGGGCGATCAGAGGAGAGAGGGCCAGATCCGGTCACAAAGGGGGAACGAGTAATTTGGGAACAGCGGTTGAACAACAAAAGACGATTTGAGGACACCCGTCGCGCCCAGGCGACATTTGTCGTCCGCAAAGTCTGCGATATGTTGATACAGTGTAGACCAGACCGAAAGGCGCCAAAGTGCCGGCAATTCGCGTTGGACATAAAGTTTGTTCAAGTGGCATTGCCATAGATTCTCCGCTGACGTTCTCTCGACACACCTGCTTACACCCGCTGCACAGCATTTCCCAGAATGTTTTTGAAATGTAATCAAATGTCCCTCAATATTTTTCTACACTAAAACACCTTACACGTTATACCTTCTTTTCCCGAAGGTGCACGTTGGAGCTCCTCGCTGTCGTCAAGCCATCCTCGCCATGAAGTTATACAAGGAGTAGATTTGGAGCCACCATCTCCCGAAAAGCATGACAAGTGTCCCATTCACCACTGATGGCGCTGAATCTGCAGGGAGGTGATGGCACCTCGTTGTACTTCCCCAGGAAGTCGGACTTCCTGACTTCTCATATGATCATCGGCATTGTCCATCCCTTTGGCGTGCTATCCTTGATCTAAAATTTACTTTCACAATTTAAAAAGGTGTACAATGTTCAAGTGGCTCTTATTTTTGTAGGAAAGCCATTCAGATATTTTCTTTTGCAGTGGCGATCTGCCAATGTGCAAGCAGAGGAAAATTAAAAAATATGAATCTAAAAATAAATGCATAGTTACATAACACATTTCATTCTAAACTGAAAAACCTCCATTTTATTCCGGGTCATAAATGCAGTTTTCAGCATTTTTCTTCGCAGTCTATTTCAATCAGTACTGTTCTGATCTAAAAAAATATTGGGGGTGCCACGGCGGTCCACTGGTTAGGCTGTCTTCCTCAGTGCAGAGGTCCAGAAGTCTGGTTTTGGAGTTACTGTGTGGAGTTGGTTTGTTGTCACCCTCGTAGGTACGTTTTCCTCCCACATTCCAAAAACATGCATGGCAGGTAATTGGAACACACAAGTTGTCATGTGTAATAAATAACGTTGAGCTTTTGCAATAATTTTGTGACTTTATTTACACTCACTTGTACAAAAATTTAGCAAAACAATATTTGACTGATTTCAAAACAGGTGATCCATCAATTTGTTGTGTACAAGTAATTTTTTAAAAATTATCATTTATTCAGCTTAGCTGTGTAACGGCCTTCCAGAGGAAGACATAACTCCAAAATAGCCCGTGACAAAAATGAGTTTGGCACCCCTGCGTCTCAATTGTCCCTTAGTGTGATTGTTCGGCTGTGAATGGCCTGCAATTGGTTGTCAACCAGTTCAGGGTGTGCCCCGCCTACTACCCACAGACAGCCGGGATCGGCTCCAGCGCGAACCACGACCCTTGTATGTGCACACAAAGCGAGCATTTCTGTCAGTGCAAATCAATTCAAGTCAAAGTCAGTGAGCGCAGAGGAGAAGGGAGTGACATAAAAGTGAAGCAGGTTTTAGACAATCATCTCTTGCAGCTCCCCGTCTTTCAGCGGTGGGTTTTACTGTTGTCGGCTCACTCCTACGACGTCAAGCATCGCAAATCAAATGCTCATTGATGCGCAGATGGACTTTCAAGGTTCCCACTCCAAACTCTCAAAAGCTGAATCGAACACAGTAGAAATCTTTCACTCTAGGGACATTGAAAGAGCGCCAATAACTGGATCAACAGTGAAAAGGGCTCCACATGCTGAACCTGATTTATCGGCAGTGATAGATATGGTCACGAATGGGCGGTCAGTAGATGACAACTCTAACCTAAAACTTTACCACGATAGAAGGTGGAAGCTTACCGTCCAGTCCGGGTGTCTGCTCTGTGGAAGGAGGATCATCATTCCACTGTAAGGGCACACTAAAATGCTCGAGCACCTTCATGCAGAACATCGTGGAATCGTGAAAATAAAGAGATCGTAAGAAGTTCCTTTGGGTGGCTAGGGCGAAACAAAGAGGTTGAACATATGGAAATGAGTTGTTCATCATGTCCTAAAACTTGCAACAATCCTGCAGCCGTACCACTTAGCTATGGGATTTTCCTCAGGAGCCTTGGTGTTGTATTCATATTAATTTTGCGGTGAAATCTTGAGTAGATTTGGTGCACCTGTCCAAATTGTTTCCGATAATGGCCCTCGACTCGTGTCAAAACAAATGTCAGATTTTCTTCAAGCCATTGGGGTACACCTGCCAGCTTGGGCTTCAATAGAGAACGACAGAAGAACTTCGATCTGTCTTTTCTCTCTCACTTCCTCATTACACTCACCACAAACAGATACTCGCTGAGACTCAGAAACACAGTATTATTTGCAGTCATACATTTTCAACTACTGTATTACCTTAACTATGATGATATGAGGCAGCCGTGACACAAAAGCAAGTGTGTTGTGAATACATGAAAAACTATGAAAAAGTAAGATGAAAGCGTATTCATGAAAATCCCTTCACTATCAATTCATCCACAACACTGACATCAAATAAAAAAATGAACTCAAATGAATTTTCTTAAAAAAAAAAAAGAGAGAAGGGTCTCAATATGATCAAACACACTAACTGAAGTACAACTAAATTTCATAGCCAAAACTCAAAATGAAAATAACAAAAAATTTCAACAAACTGACAACTCACAATATTTTCAACACAACAAATACAAACATTTCTTTCATTGAGGAACCTTGCAAGATGATGCATAGAATTCAGTCATCCTTGGAGCATGAAGTGATGAAGCCGAATCAGATGAGAAACCAAAGCTTCATTGATGAGTGTGTTGGTGCATTGCAACACACTGATGGTTCTTCACCTGATATTTCCATGAAAAGCTTTGGCAACAATTTGAGCAGGCAAAGGGTTTCTCACCAGTGTGTGTTCTGATGTGATTGAATAAGATTCCCTTCTGAGAGAATCTTTTACCACAGACTGAGCAAGCAAAAGGTTTCTCGCCCATGTGGGTACTTGTGTGTCTTTTTAAGCTCCCCTGATGAGAGAATCTTTTACCACAGACTGAGAAGGCAAAAATTTTCTCACCAGTGTGTGTTTTTGTGTGACTTATTAAGTTTTCCTCATGTGAGAATCTTTGACCACAAACTGAGCAAGCAAAAGGCTTCTCACCAGTGTGGGTTCTTGTGTGTTTTGATAACTGTCCCTTCTGACAGAATCTCTGGCCACAAACTGAGCAGGCAAAGGGTTTCTCACCAGTGTGTGTTCTCATGTGCTTTGTTAAGGTTCCCTTCTGGGAGAATCTTTTATCACAGACTGAGCAAGGAAAAGGCTTCTCAACAGTGTGGGTTCTTGTGTGAATTCTTAAGCTTTCCTTACGTGAGAATCTTTGACCACAGACTGAGCAGAGGTTTATCACCAGTATGGGTTTTTGTGTGGTTTGATAACGGTCCCTTCTGACAGAATCTCTGTCCACAAACTGAGCAGACAAAGGGTTTCTCACCAGTGTGTGTTCTGATGTGGACTTTTAAAATTCCCTTCTGAGAGAACCTTTGCCCACAAACTGAACAGGCACAAGGTTTTTCACCGGTGTGGGTTCTTGTGTGTATTTGTAAGGTTCCCTTCTCAGAGAATCTTTGTCCACAAATTGAGCAGGGAAAAGGTTTCTCACCAGTGTGGGTTCTTGTGTGTGTTTTTAAGGTCCGCTTCTCATAGAATATTTGTCCACAAATTGAGCAGGCAAAGGGTTTCTCACCAGTGTGTGTTGTGATGTGTTTTGTTAAGGTTCCCTTCAAAGAGAATCTTTTGTCACAAAGTGAGCAGCCAAAAGATTTCTCACCAGTGTGCGTCTTTTGGTGTGCTGTCAAATATCCCTTCAAGGAATATCTTCGACCACAGACTGAACAGGCAAAAGGTTCCTCACCAGTGTGTGCACTTGTGTGCCTTCTTAACTCTATCTTCCGTAAGAATCTTAGACCACAAACTGAGCAGACAAAATGTCTATGACGTTTTAAGTGACCCATTTGAGAGAATCTTTGGTCACAAACTAGGCAGGCAAAGGGTTCCTCGCCAGTGTGTGATCTTGTGTGTATTTTTAAGTTTCCCTTCTGAGAGAATCTCTGGCCACAAACTAAGCAGGCAAAGGGTTTCTCACCAGTGTGGCAAATCATATGCCTCTACAAACTTCTCACTGAAACACAAGTTTTCCCACATTCAGAACATTGCCAGCCTTTGTCAGTTTCACATGCTTGTGATCCTCCATCACCTTCTGATGTCATGCATGGACACGAGCTATTGCCTGGAGGCCCCGCCTCTTTGCTCGCTTCACTTTGACCCTCATTTTCACATTTTAAAGGGCCACCAGTCAATGGCAGCTTACAGATATTCTGCTCTTCTTTCTCCTCTTTGATGTTGGGAGACTTTTTTTCAACCTCCTTGGTATGGAGAAGCTTTTCCTCCTCTTTGATGTGACTGTGCTCTTCTTCCTTTTGATTAATAGGAGGCTCTGGCTCCTCTTTTTCTTGAATGCAGGGGTCCACTTCATCCTCCAATTCCTCTTTAATGTCTGACTCCCGCAGCCCAGGACAAACATCTTCACTGACATCTTGAAGACATAAGAAGACAAAGAAAAAAGGTTTGGCAAAGTCATAGTGTAACTGTAGATGGCAGACATTGTTTAGATTTATACTTGTGGTCGATTGCAATTTAAGGCTATTACAATAAAAAGGTAATAAGGCTTGTAACATTTATTTGTCAGCTGGTGTGACGAAATCTGGCCACATTTAGGCAAAAACAAATGTTAATGAAATACCATGGACAAAACATTATCCATCCATCCATTCATATTCTAATCCGCCAGGCCTCATAAGGTTTGCGGCAGTGTTGGAGTGTATCCGAGCTGACTTCGGGCTGTAGCCCTGAACTGGTTGCAGCCAATCGCAGGGTGCACATAGACGAACAACCATCCGAAAGGTGGGAGGAAACCGGAATACCCACGCAGGCACGGGGGACAACATGTAAACTACACACAAGAAGGCTGGCACGGGAATCGAACCCTGCACCTCTGTATTGTGAGGTAGACGTCTTAACCAGTCGCCCACCGTAACTCCACAAAACGTTATCAAAATACAAATGTGTTTCGTGAATATTTGGCCGACTATCAGACTTGAAATTGACGTTTGTGTGTTTTTTAGGTTTTTCACTTTGGGTGGCTCTATTTTAACAATGTGGTGATGATTACATCATGCACAGGCATCAATAATTTGGGACCCAGTTGTGGTGAAGCCAATTTTACCATCCTCCCGAGTGATGCTGTGGGGCGTGGTGTTAGGATACCTAAGAGGCTGTCCACTTGTGACACTACACAGTGGTCTCCATCACCTTCTGATATCATGTGTTGATATGAGCTGCTGTGTGGAGGCCCCGCTCCTCTCCCCGCTCCTCTCCCTGCTTCACTTTGGCCTTCATCTTCACTTTTTAAAGGAACACCAGTCGATGACAACTTGCAGATATACCCCTCCTCCTCCTCTTTGATGTAGGGGGGCTTTCGTTCATCCTACTTGGTGTGGACGTGCTCTTCCTCCTCCTCTTTGATATGAGTGTGCCCTCCGTCCTCCTTTTTAATGACAGGGGGCTCTGGCTTCTCCTTTTCTTGAATGCAGGGACGCTCTTCATCCTCCACCTCTAGGGGGCTCTGGCTTCTTGAATGCAGGGACGCTCTTCATCCTCCACCTCCTCCTTAATGTGGGAGGACTCTGGCTCCTGCTGTCCAGGACCAACATCTTCACGGATGCCTTCAAAACACACGAAGATCAACACAAAACATTTGGTCATGTCAATTCTCATGTTGGAAATTGGAATTTGCACATGGCTGTTTGTACTTCTGCTTGAGGTTGATTGGTGCTTAAAGCTATTCCAATATATGGGTAAAAAGATGTTCAATGTTTTTCCTCTGTTCAAAATTGCATGGCGGCCACCCCCAGCCAGGCCGATTGAGATCACTCAACATAGCGTAGAGCTCAAGCTGTACTGATTGAGTGATGGATGTCCTGTGGCAGCGTATTTTCACTGCAGCTGCAATGCTGGGCCACTATGAAAGTGCTACATCAACATCAGTACAAGATTGAAATATTATTTTTTATTCCTCTTTCCATTTAGTCTCAAAAACACATTAGCCACTTGACGACAAGTCATAGAATCTTAAAAAGAACTAAAAAATAGATAGGGTCCAGTCAAGGAATGCCAGCGGAGGAGTTCAGTGTTCCTTCTGACGAGTACCAGTCAAGAGGCGAGCAGCAGCATTCTGGACCAACTGGAGATGCTGAATGGAGGATTGGGTGACTCCGAAGTAAAGTGCATGACAGTAATCCGGACGAGATGTGACGAAGCCGTGCTGCCTCAGATGAAAGAAGCTGGAGTTCACAACAGGTTCTTAAACCGAACAACTTGGAGCACATCAGTCAACAAGTAGGCAGGTCAATGTCTATTGCCAAATTCTTGACCTACATTGACAAAGAAATCATCACATTCTTTAACAAGCTTCTTCTTCTCACTAATAATCGAATTGTCTTGCTCAACAATATTTGTTGGAACATCTCGATGATGGCAATTTTTTATTATTTCATTATAAACCCTCTCTAAACACTCCATGGATCCTTTTTTTTTTGGGGGGGGGGGGATCTTAACTTCTTGCCCAATCATGATTCAAAAGCTCCACTGCTTCTGTTGATGTTACCCTGTTTAACTTCGGCGTCTGTCTTTCCATTTTTGATTTTATCTTATCATTCATTTCAAATGTTGGGGGGGAGAGTCGGCCTTTTTTTTCCTCCGCGTGTTCATTAATTTTGGATGATGAGGATCTTGGTTATCCAAATACAGGTTGTCGTAGATTTTGTTATTTTTTTCCATTGTTTTTTCGATCAATTTTTTGTTTTACTGTTTATAGTTCTGTGGATGATGTTTGCTCCATGCCCAGCATTTTGTATTCAGCGGTGTTTGTTTGAAAGTGCTTTATAAACAGTTGAGTTGAGTAGATTTTCCGCCGAAACTTTCTCGACACACCCGCCTCCGCGCGCAGTATTGCATTTCCCCTCGAAGTCCCTCGAAGTTGTCACAAATATACCCAAGCCTTACGATCTCCTTCACTACTTTTCTAGACTAAAGCACCTTACATTAAATCTTCTTCTCCGTTTTAAATCGTTTCGGTGCATGTTGGAGCTTCTCACTGAAATCAAGCCATCACTTCGTTGCGTGACTTCCTGTTTCCAAATATGGTCATCAGCATATCCTCATCTTTGACGTGCTTTCCTTGATCTAAAAAAATCTGTCAAAATTTGGCAAGGTGTGCAGTGTTCAAGTTTCTTTTATCTTTATTGAACTTTATTTATTCAAGAAACGCCATTGACATCATATTTTCATTTGGAGTGGCGATCTGGCAGGGTACAAGCAGAGCAAAACAAGGAAATAAGATAAGACTGCAGAAATCCAAACCAAATTTGGGTGATGTGTCTGAAGTTCGAGGTGAAGAGGGTGAACAGGAACGGAGCCAGTACCCTGCGGCGCCACAGTGCTGCAGAGAAGCCTGTCGGACTCACAGCTCTGTACCCTCACGTACTGCGGCCTGCTTGTGAGGTAGTCTGCAATCCATGATGTGAGGTGGTGATGGTAAGAAGCCAAAGAGAATCATATAAATAGTTACATGACACACTTCATTCCAAAATGAAAAACGTTCGTTGTATTTAGGATCACAGATGCAGTTTTCAAAATCATTTTTTCTACGTCGTCTATTTTAATTACTGTAGTGCTTTTCTTACTTCAAAAATATTGGGGGCAACACGGTAGTCGACCGGCTGCGGCCATCCTGTGAGGGGATTGCATGTTCTTCCCCGTCGTCTTGCACATATTAAATTCAAGGCCTTGGGGGCCGGGATGTATTGCTCCAATGATTTAGCACAAGTGTGAATTGTCAACACTTCCATCGGTAGTAATGAATCGGTGTATCTGGGAAAAGCAGATCTTAAAGTAGCAAAATACACCTCTGTGTTGATTGATTGCACTTGTATGGCAAATATGGGCGCATACATATCGGCTGTTCAGCACAGACCTGACGTTCCGATCTTGCTGGTCCACTAATTAAACACAGAGATTGTTGTGTTACAGTTTGTCTATGTATTATTTTTATTTTCTGGTGAGCAGACCGATGTGCGCAACATCGCCCTTCAAGAAAAAAGCTACTACTGTATA